CCCCAAAACCCCAAAACCCCAAAACCCCAAAACCCCATCATTAGCAAATTTTGAAAATATTGTGAGGGTATAAATAAACTTATTAATACTCATACATATTATTAAAATAATAAAGACTTGAAAATGATTATTAGATAGGCTTGCAAATAACTAACCAATACTAAATCTCAACTTCACTAATTATCTAGGCATCAGCCTTCTCTCTTTGCCTAATCCAATACTTATTTCAATATGAAATTAGTCTAGGATTAGTATGGCTTTGGGAATAACTTAATTAAACAATAACTAAACTTATTTTCTTCAGTAAATGCCTCTGAAAATCGAAAGAAATAATCAAAAATTGATGATGATAAAAATGATCAATAAAAATTAGAAAAGCAAAGGAAAGAAGCTTCTCCATTCTTTAATATGAATAATATCAAGAAAACATTGAGTGAGGAATTAGAAACAGAGCAAGATAAAATAAAGAACAAGCAATAGTTGCATGAACTCGAGGAGTAAAGTGAAAAATTTGACTTTATTAAGGCTGATCAGAGTAAGATTAAGTAGGACAGAAATTACTAAAGTAATACCAATTCATATTCATGAAATTATAGGAATGATTTAGGATACTTATGACTGTGTCAAATTTCTAAATAAGCTTCCAATGAATGTTTTAGAGGAAAGTTTGAAGGTTTTCAGAGAAAATTTGTTCAATATGAGCAGTAGAAAATAGATCCCAGTCAAATTCTATGAGATTCTACTTAAGGAATATTAGGAAGAATAAAAATTGAAGTTAGAAGGAGGAGTTTAAATTGTGGATTCAGTTGATATTCCTCCTCCTAATCAATTAGGGGAACTAATGCAAGATAGAGATGAGACCTTGTTTGAAGTAGCTAATAATGTGTATGCATCAATGCAAACAATTCTTGAATTTATGGATAAAGGAGTTAAGGGACTTCTATCAGGAGATATGTCAGTGTATATAATTCAACAAATCAAGTAAAGTATTGACAAGTATATGACAGACTTTGAGAAGATCTCTTCTGAAATAAAAGATTTATTGGAAAAGCAGCAAAGTTTAGATGCATTCATGAATGATAATTTCAATCTAGAATCTTAAGAACTTTACCTCTAAAATACACCTACATACGAGGCAGCCAAGAACTTTGACATTTATTTACTACTGCTAGAAAAAAATGATTGGAAAAAACACATTCAGATTAAATAAACTTCCAACTATTTATCTCCTACGAGCCTAATCAACCCGGAACTTTTGTTGAATACTTCATCGTCATAAGATCACAAAGAAAAAGCATAGATTTTATTCGCAAATTAAGATAACTTAAGGAGTTTTATTGAACAAAAAGCTAAAAAAGTTCAGTTTACACATTAAGAATAAATAGATAGCTTAAAGAAGGAACTAAATATGATTATAAATAAATTATATCAAGAAGTATGCAAAACTGCCTATGATTTGGACAAATATAGAATACCTGTTCACGGTATACCTTTTCCATAATTTGAAAACCCAATGAATTTATTCTAAAGGTAACTTAAAATAGAAGAATTATCTTTTGAGCTATCACAAACGAGATATAAATCATCGCTTGATAGTTTGATTAAAATTGGAAGAGGTGATTAACTAGCAGTATCTCATAGATATATACTATCTTGGATGAGACTTCTAGAAAGTTCCATTGCAGAATAGTAAAAAATATTTATTAAGAGAGGAAATTTAGATTCTAATAAATCAAAGATCGGGCATCATCTAATATAAATACCAAGCGAAAAGATAGCTTAAATGTGCGTACTTCATTTGATGAAGCATTTGTTCAAGTAATTTGTCTCAGACATTAAATACGATGATGATGTAAATGATGAAAGAGATGTATCATAGGAAATTAAAATTCCAGCAATTTAATTGTTTGATGAATTAGGAAAGTTATTTGATAAAGAATTGAAATCGACATTGATGTCCACAACCAGGAGAAAATCGGATCATGCAATTGCTAAACCCGGTGATCAAGATTAAGCTAAATTTGATAGTGGATTATTTAATGAAGAAATTAATGCTGAACTAGGATCAGAGTTTTAATAGATTCATAATAAAATATCAAAGCATCATTTAATTGAAGATCAATCAATAGGATCTTTACCTAGAGATATTCAACTTAAATTAGGTGCTTTTTTGACAAATCTCATGTGTAAAAATCTTAAATACAAGATTGGAACTAAGAGCTATTTACTATTAAAGCCTTAAGTTTTGAGATAAGATGGATAGAAATTTCTTGGCTATATAATTTTCAATAGGTCTTTTATTGAGACATTTATTGGAGAGTTAGATAAAATTCATGATTTAAGTTTACAATTAGAGCGTAGTTTGCCTATGATATATTAGCCCGCTCCATGGAAGAATTTTAACTTCGGAGGATATTATTTAAAGCAAACTAAACTTGCTAAAGTTATTCCAAACTTTAAAGAAGCAGAGAAATATCTACATAGAGCTGATCTTTCAAATTTATGTAGTGTCCTGAATATTCTTAGTTCTGTTAAATGGAGAATAAATAAAAGAGTTTTAGAAGTAATTGAATATGCTTGGTCAATTGGAGGTGGCCTTGGAGAAATCCCAAAGAGGTATAATGATAGATAAATTACTCCAGAGCTTTTAAAGACAGTTAAATTTAAGGAAAAACTAAAACTTTTGAAAGAACATTAAAAGAACAGAGAAACTCATGCACTTAGATGCGATTTTTTACTCAGACTTTCAATTGCTTAGAGTTTTAAAGGAGTTGATAATCTCTATTTCCCACATAATATGGATTTTAGAGGTAGAGTTTATCCAATTCCTCCTCATCTCAATCATATGGGAGCAGATATTAACAGAGGTCTACTCTAATTTGCTGAAGGTAAGCCATTAGGAAAAGATGGTTTGTTTTGGCTTAAAGTTCATTTATCGAATAAAATGGGAAATGACAAACTGCCTATAGTGCAAAGGGCAGCATATGCTGAATCTATAATGGAGAAGGTGCATAAATGTGCTGAAGATCCAAAGAATAATTTAGAATGGCTATAAACAGATAACCCTTGGTAGGCTTTGGGTGCTATGATAGATCTCAGTTAAGCAATGAATAGTCCTAATCCTGAGGAATATATAAGTTATCAGCATATTCATGTAGATGGTAGTTGTAATGGAATGTAACATTATGCTGCATTGGGTAGAGATGATAGAGGTGCTAGATAAGTTAATTTAGCTGACTCAGAAAGACCAGGAGATGTTTATACCGCAATTCTTAAGCTTGTCATTTAATAAATTGAAAATGAGACAGATCCATAATTACTTGAAGTTGCAGAGGGTTTAAAAGGAAATGTTAACCGTAAAACAATTAAGTAAACTGTAATGACATCTGTATATGGTGTGACATTTATTGGAGCACGTTAATAAATTCAAAGATAATTAAGAGACAGAAAACTCTATGAAACAAATGGTGAACTATATAAAGCCTCTTAATACTTAGCTAAAGTTACAATAAAATGTATAGGAGATCTATTTAGAGATGCCAATAACATCAAGGAATGGTTTTCAAAATGTGCAAAAGTAGTAGCTTCAACAGGAGAACCTGTAAAGTGGATGACACCGTTAGGTCTACCATGCGTACAACCATATAAAACTGCATCATAAAAGAATATCATTACCACAATTATCCAGTCTATATCGGTAGCAGATAGTTGGGATGATTAGCCTGTCAATAAATAAAAATAGAACTCTGCTTTTCCCCCTAATTTCGTCCATTCACTAGATTCTACTCATATGATGTATACGGCTTTAGAATGCTACAGATAAGGTATTATATTTGCAGCTGTACATGATTCCTATTGGTCTCATGCATCTAATGTAACAATTATGAATTAAGTGTTGCGTGAGCAATTTAGTAGATTACATGGGAGTCCACTGTTGGAAAATTTATATGAAAATTTTATCAGTCGTTACCCCAACCAGAAGTTCCCAGAAATTCCAAAAAGAGGTTCATTTGACCTAAACGAGGTTAAAAAATCTACGTATTTCTTCTCTTGATGTCCTATATATTTTAATTAATCAATAAGTTATTAAAATTCTCCAGATTACAAAGTTGAGGGGTTTTGGGGTTTTGGGG